ATCTAGGAATGTTCATATGAGACTGAGCATTAATTTTTGCTGCCATCCTATCATAAGTAGACGTTTGCTATCTACTGCACTTAAAATATCTCTGAGAACTGTAACATCTGCTTGTCAAATACAATGCCCAGGAGGTGCTGCAGATCCCAAAGCATCCCTAAGAACAGAAGAGTATAATTTTTTACCTCTAAAGTGGGGAATGGCAGGCTGGTCTTGCTCATGATGGCTGGAGGATGTGGAGAGTCTCCAGATGTTCATCTCCCATGAAGAGATTGTGGTGAAGTCTTTCCTTTTTTATGTCTTCCCTCACATTCTAGTTCCCTGACAGCGGATGTCTGAATGCGTGTCCCATATGGGAACTGCCGGCTCTGGGTTGCTGGCCGTGTCCAGAAACAACCCTCTGCTTGAACTGAGTGAAGTACGGAGAGGTTTCTTGTTTGCTGATCTTGCTGTTTGGCAGAAGGAAAGGTTTTTTTTAATAATGAGACTAAATTAGTAAATTTATGTTCATGTTATTAGTTCATGTAGGGCATAGTCTTCCCTTTTAGACTGAAAGCTGGATTAGTCTGATTTACAAATGTTCACTTCTGTTTAAGAAAGCAGAATATTTTCCTCTCCCCTGCAAAATTATTCCATGTGTTGTGTGTATGTTATCGCTCTTCAGTAACTGTGGGGTTTAGAGAACAAGGACATACCAAGGGAAATTATCAGTTTACATCCTTGTTCTGATTTACCAAGGAGGCACAAAAATATAGTCCTCTTTCAAAGTTTCAGGTATGAAGGTTAGACCTGTAATGTTCATAATGCTTCCTTAACCCCAAGGTGGAAAAAAGATTAGTAAGTACACAAGCTCTGTCAATTTCATTGTAGTTCTCCTGAAGAACCTAAAGGAAAAAAAACTAAAGAAAAAATTTCTTTGCCACCAATTTGGGGAATAATTTTCTACCTAGTTGTCACTGTATTTAGAGCTGTATCTTGTCTTGTAGCTGCTGAGCAACTGATTAGAAATCTCGGAGTAGATCTCACTGTAGAAGAAGGGTTTTTTTAGTCATATTTTGTAATACTTATTTAGGGGTTCACTGGTCTCTTAAAGAGACACTGATACATGAAATTAATAATTTACTTCTGTTTGAATTTTCAGAGGAAACAAATTCATACCTTAACTGTAGTGGAGATGCACTATCGCTGTATTGCATACACGTAATCCATGTCTCAGATAGTCTGTGTCCTTGCCATGCATTCTGTTAAGGACCTAGCAGATAGCTCACTTCTTACAGAGGCATCCCCTGAGAGGAGGGAGGGAAACTGAACTTCTTGAAAAGGAGCAGGTGGTAGGATCAGAACTGAGATGTAAATGGGAGATGAAAATGACCCTTCAATGAAATACCTCTGATTTACCACAGGTGTGCATAACATTCTGGCTCTGAGCTAGATGGTTGTTGATGATTTTTCTTGCTTCAAAAGATAACCCCATACATGCATGAAAATAAGATAATACCTCAGAAAGATCATGGAGTGTGCGATTGTGTTATTAGTTAGAAGACTGCAAACACAGAAGATTTCCCCAGAGAGCAGCACTGCATCTTGCAATCTTTTTCCAGAAAATCTTATGAGTAGAAAAATGAAATTAAACATTTCCCAATCAGTTTCTAACGTGCCACTGTAATAACAGGAATTCACTTCATAGAAATCTGTCCAATTTCGCATCAGTGAGCGACTAAAAATCTTTAATGATTTGATGAACTCCAGCTTGGCTTACAAAAGGCAGAAATCAGTGACAGAATAGAAAGAAAAATATATAGCTATGGTACGTTCTGCTTGAAAGAGATTTTTATTTATTTATTTATTTTTTAATATGTTTAAAGCGCTGATTTCTGAGTAGTTTCCTTTGGAAAGCTTTTCTTTTTTTGCCTCTCTCCTCACTTTTGTTGTTGCTTATTATTTGTTTAGTCACATAGGATATAGCTTGCTTTAAACTCAGTGAAGAGTATTACTCCTTTTTCTGTTAATGCAGAGAACAGTACATGTGCAAACACAGTACCTCAGTGGTATTCTGGCTGAATAAATGTGCAATGCATTTACTTTCTGTCATAGAATCATGGAGTTGCAAAGGTTGGAAAATAACTCCAAGGTTATCTTCCATCACATCTAGACCCCTGTTGAGCTGGCTGTGTAATGAGGATGCAGAGGGGTTTAGCAGCAGTGCCAAGCTCCTGGCTGGTAAGCTCAGAGAGAAAGCATCCAGCATAGGGGAATTTGCCTTCTGGGAAGTTTGTGATGTTTCTGGAGCATGAGACTTGAAGACTCTGTCAAAACTCGAACCCAACCACTTACATAGTGGAATATTTCCTTTAAAGAGTAGGTCTAAAAGGAAGAGAACTAACACGATACAGTTTTACATTAATCAAATGTCTGTGCCTTTACATATACTCGGAGAATCCTAGGGTTATTTGGAAGGAGAGGGGGCTGTTGGATATGAGACTGTTCCTCAGTTATTGTCATCACAGAACAATTTCTGCTACACTGAGGCTGGGATCATGCAGTGCTGCAAAAGACAGAATGCTCTAAAGAAAGCTATGCTTTCCCTGCTGGCTTCCAGGGTGTCTCTATGGACCCCTGGCAGTTGATCTTGTACATCTTGTTCTGTCCCAACTTAAATGGCCTTGTAAACCAGGAACGCCTGTTCCTTGCAGTTTGCTGGCTGCTGGCATACAAGCCTGTTTGCCAAGCCTTCGGGGGCTGAAAGGTGTGAATGAGGAGTGCTGACTTCCCTTTTGCGTTATTAGTGTCACCTATCAGTGTGCAGTTTTATTTGCAGAAAGAATTTCTGTTCCTTGATTAAGAGAATGACAGAAATAAATGACTTCGTAAAAAAAGATATGCAGTTTAGGAAGTGAGGGGAAGTAACTGTAGAAAGCTATTCTGAAAATGTCATGTAATCTACAGTTAGGTTTTTTCGTTCTTTCCTGGATCTGTATTTTACGAAATCGGTGAGTCAAGCAATTGTCAGTAATATTTTTGTTTTTTATTTTTTATTTTTTCTTATCTTACACGAACTATATGCGTCTGTGTATGTATTGCAACTGAATGATAAAAATACACGTATAGCAGCAGGAGGAAGAATTTTAGCTTTATTTAGAATTAACTTGCAGTAAGTGTTTACTAAGTGCATCTGTCATATCATTATGGATTTGTGTTGCTAGATTCTTATGTTGGGAATTCTTTTTCTTTTTTTTTGATACCTGATGACGTTGAACATTTTAATTTTATTATTCTCATTCAGTGATCTATTATTCTCATTCAGCAATCTATGTAAGCAGTGTGGGACTTAAGTACAGAAATATCAGAAGTATTTACCGATGTCTTTTTTTAGTCATTCAGCAAAAGCACATCTACAGTCCATTTTAATACATTTTAGATGAGGCATTTTATGTATCGTCAGGCATATTCAATTTCTTTCAAAAAATAAACGTCACTGTATGTGAGACAGTGCTTGTAATGCAGTTATGCAGTTAATTTCTCAAATGGAAATCTTGCGCTAAATACTTTTGAATAAAACAGGTACAAATGTGGATAAATCAAGAAGGCTTTTGTCATACACTTCAGGATGATGGTATCCTGTGTGTGTTCCTTGTGTGAGATTCTATAGGTATGCCTGCACCCTAAAGGAGGTGAAAGAGAAAAGAAAATGCTATGGAAGCCTTATGCTATATGCTTGGTCTCTTGAGAATCCTGCTCAGCAGTCGGATCTTTGCTCTTCCATATATCTTCAGAGTTTTCAGACATTTTGATTAGCAAGTAAAAATGTACTCACTGCCTTACAACGTAACAAGCAGATGCCTTTTCATCATCAGGGAAAGAGAGATGTGCTCCCTGTTGTTTGAAAGCAACTATCAGAAAGGTGGCATCTCTGAAGATGTCTAAATTAGTTCGTTCAAGACTTTGCCAATGCCTACTACTCAGTAGCAATCCTGTTCCTCCATTAGGGGGTATTCAGTCTGATTTAAAGTTTATATGGACCCTCCCCTCCATACTCCCTGAAAAATATAAGTTTTTCTTATTCGCTTTGCACGGAGATACGTGTGCTGGAGAGCTTTCCTAGGCAGGGCTCATCCTCTGAGGCACAGATTGGTTGGGAAGAGATCTGTGACATTACCTCATGCTCTGCAATGCTCTTTGCTCAAGGCAAAAAATGTAGTTGGCAAAACATTGTTGGACTGGCACGAAAAGTGAACAGCTAGAATTGTGGTGGTCCCAAGGCAGAACCTGATCCTGTACAAAAGGAAACCAGCAGAGTATGAACAAACTTATCAGAGCATATCTGATGCTACGTGATTCTGCTGTTTTGCTCATGGAGTACTGTAGTCAAGAGTCCTACGAAAAGGCTGTGGACATGAAAGTCTCTGGGAAATGGCATTTCCAGTAGTGCTTCTCCATCATGTGACCTGCCATGGCAGAGGTGTGCTGGGAGAGAGAATAAGAGACATGAATGTTCTTGATATATTGCATTAAATATATTCACACTCTTGTTGCCTCTTAGTTTGTCTCTGGCACAATTGCTTTCCCTTGTTGCCAGACTCTTACAGTATTCTGTTAACTAATATAATAGTATATACAGCACTCGCAGAAGGCAGTAAGTCTTCCTCCTTTCCCTTGTTCCCTCTCTTCCCCCTTGGATGAAATAGAGGCATTTCTAGTATATGTGTTACTAGAGGCTGTCAGGTGCATGTTCATTAACACAGTATACTGTAAGAATTCAGGGCTATGTCTGAGTTTCAGGAGTAGTTGGTATCATCCAGAGGTGGAAAAGGCATGGCTGTCATAGCTCTCCAAAACTTTAAATTATAACTTATCACAATTGTAATATATATTATGTTTACATATTTATCTTCAAAGATAGGACAAATATTCTCTGTATGTATTTATTTATTCATTACTTCCTATGGCAGTATAGAATATTGTTAACTTTTCTCTTTACTTCTTCCATCCTGTTTCTGCAGGTCTTGATGATTGCTTGCAGCAATATATTAAGAATTTTGAGAGAGAGAAGATTAGTGGCGACCAGCTACTACGTATTACTCATCAAGAACTGGAAGATCTTGGAGTCACACGAATTGGCCATCAGGAACTTATCTTGGAAGCAGTAGACTTGCTCTGTGCACTGGTAAATTTCTTGGGGCGAAAGGGGAGGAAATGAATGGTGTTTGCATATTTGCAGTTTGTGTATTCGAATTTCTAGTCCTAAAAAACATTTAAACAGGTGCTTTTCAATGTATGAACGGTTTAACATTTTAAACCAGAGTCAAGATAACAACATCTACTGCTAGGACAGTGCTTGTTAAATTTACATCAGAGGTTTAAGACTTCCATATCTTTGTTTGTAGGAAAAAAGCCTACCTAAAATCACAATGAGACTAGACAGTGCTATGTTTGGAATGTAAAATACTTAGAATGAGAGAAATCAGAATGTAATAATTGAGTGCCAGTTGCCCTTTAACTGCCTTTTAAACCAACCAACCAACAAACAAAAAAACCTCATGATATTAATCACAGAATCACAGAATTGTAGGGGTTGGAAGGGACCTTCAGAGATCATCGTGTCCAACCCCCCTGCCAAAGCAGGTTCCCTACAGCAGGTAGCACAGGTAGGCATCCAGGCAGGTCTTGAACATCTCCAGAGAAGGAGACTCCACCACCTCCCTGGCAGCCTGTTCCAGTGCTCCGTCACCTCACTGTAAAGAAGTTCTTGTGCACGTTTGTGCAGAACTTCCTATGCTGCAGTTTCTGGCTGTTTCCCCTTGTCCTGTCTCCACTCACCAGTGAAAACAGTCTGGCCTCGCCACTCTGCCCCCCACACCTTAGATATTTATAGACCTGGATCAGGTCCCCTCTCAGTCTTCTTTTCTCAAGGCTGAACAGACCCAGTTCACTCAGCCTTTCTTCATAGGAGAGATGCTCCAGGCCCTTCACCATCTTCGTGGCCCGACCATTAACCATGTTATTTAACCATGTCATATAACCATGTCATTTTTCACTGATCTTTTATGCACTCCCTCACTGTATAGCAAATTATTTTTTAGATGATTATTTACCTGCTTGTATTTCACAGTAGAAAGGATGAGATACTGGAGTGGAAAAAAAAAAAAAGTAAATAATACATAAATCCTCAATGCAGAGGGATTTTGATAATGCTCTTTTCTGTAAGGTAACGTCATGCAAAACTTTGATTATCCCCTCAGTGAGAGGTGTAGTGCTAACTTCACTGTTCTTATGAACTTCTGCATGATTGTAAAGATTGGGCACACTGTCTGCGTTCGTTGCTGTAGAAAGAATTGTGAACAGCTCTGTTAAGATGTACTTGACTGCCTAAAATGGAGTTTTGTAGTTTCTAATGTGGATGATTTTTCCAAGCTTCAGCAGCAGCTTTAAGGAAGCCGAATCTCTGTAGAGGAAATCAAAGATGATACACTGAAAGGTTCCTTAGAAGGGCTTGTGGATTCTCAGTACTCAGCAGCTTTTCTGAATATGATACTATTGGATCTTTGGGATTGACAAAGATTGTACAGGCTTTGGATTTTCTTCTCTAGAGCATTATGTTGTGGAGTGGCTCCGTGTGATGTTAACTCCACCATTTTTAAGTGATGGAAAGTTGTAATCCAAATAAATAAATAATAAATAAATAAAAATTGCTATGGACATACAAGAAGACAGTCACAAAGTACAGACCGTGCAAAGAGAAACAAGAAAGGAAATACTGTAATTAACTGAGACAAAATCTAAGGTAGGGTGAACACTGAGGACGGTTCTTTCCAAGGGAGACAGATTGTGATTCTTTCAAATGTAACCTATTTTCACAGAATGAACCTTGTTTATTAGCTGAAATTTCCTTTTCCCCCCGGATATATAATTACAGATGTTATCATTAGACAAACAGACACATCTTGTATTTGTAGTTCCCTTTTATGAGACAATAGTATGTAGAACTAAATTGTACATAAAATAAGGAATTTCTAGTGAAAGCTTGCAATGCATCCTAAATTCATGCAAAAAGTCTCTACCTTCTCGGTCCATATGGCATATAGTGTTGTCTGCTTTTCTGAGTTGATTTTTAAAAAAAACTTTATCACTGAAACACAATAGCAAGCACTCAGATTTCAACTTCTAATTTAAGTGGAGGCTTTTGCAGTCTCACAATTGGCTGCTGATGGCTCCTCAGGGGCAGAAAATGTGATTGTTATATTGATTTTAGTGGACTTAATTTAAATTTATTGTTCACCAATCGGATAAACCTCTTAGGAAATTTAATTCAGAGACAATCCTTTTGGCTATTCTGATCTTATACTTGCAGGCTTTCTTTTTTTTTTTTTTATTGCATCAATAAGTATCTGTCCTGGTTAGTGCTTGCCTGTTCTTCTGAATTAGCTTCTAATGTGGACTGTATGTTTATGAGAATGCTAAACCTATAAATCTTCAGCACAGGACAACTGCTTGTGCAGGTGGTCACTGTGCTGGGTTTTTGAAATGCAAGTTACCTGACTGTTTCTCCTGTTACACTGGAGTTTAACAGAGGATTCACAATAGAATTTGGCATGAGGCACAGATTCGATCCAAGTGAATTAAGATCTAATTCGATGTTGGAAATGATCAATAGTATGATGGGATAGAAACAGTAATATTAATTTTGCCTTGCGAGCATAATCTCTGATTCTGTACTAATCGTGTCCAACAGATTGCTTTTGATTCTCCTCTCCATTCTCTCTGAGTTGGTGAGTGAACACCTAAAGAGGCTTTTTTTTTTTTTTTTTTTTTTTCCCCCCCCAACTAAGAACAATTGAGGAGGGCAGAACCACCCCTCCTACCAGTCATTCCTGCTCCCATTCTATGGGAAGAGGTTTTTAAGACAGAGACACCATTGGTGAGGGAAGCTTCTGTGTCAGCTGATGTGCTTAGGAGATGCATCTTTCCTGTCCCTCTCCAAGGAGTTTTATGGAGAAGATTTCCTCTGACAATTTCTGCTCTATAGCTGTGGTTGTGGCAAATGGCAAACTGGCTGCTTGTGTTGCATGTCTGCAGTTTGTGGGGCAATGTTTTCTTTCTGGAGGAAAATGAAGGACCTGATCAAGTATGTTTGGTGTGGGCCTGGGTCCTACTTGCCTCAGACAGGCTGTGGAATAGTACTAAAAAGACAAACTGCTGGCCACAGTAATAATTGGGAGCCACTTATCATAAAATCATAGAAGTACCAAGTTTGGAAAAGACCTTCAAGATCATCTAGCTCAACTGCCCATCTACCACCAATATTTCCCTTTTAAACTGTGTCCCTTAATACTACATCTAAATGTTTTTTTGAACACCTCCAGGGATGATGACTCCACCACCTCCCTGGGCAGCCCATTCCAGTGCCTGACCACTCTTTCATAGAAGTTTTTCCTCATATCCAACCTGAACCTTCCCTGGCACAACTTGAAGCCATTCCCTCTTGTCCTGTTGCTCATTATGTGTGATTACCTTTGGTAGTGTTCTTTGAAGGATGTTCTTTTTTGACAGAAGTTGGTAGGTAGCTGTGGTCTCTCTCAGTATTTCCATCCTGTCATGAGCATTTGCAACAAAGGGATCCTCCAGTGTTTGTTAGCTGATAAGAGAACAAATGCTGGACTATGTCACCATCTCACTTGAGTCTCTCTTGGCTGACAATTGCCATACTGTGCTGTTGACGAGAGCAAATATCCTGGGGGTGAGATACACAGGTTTTCTTTTCCTGTGATACTAGAGAGGAGGGAAAGACATGGCTCAGCTGCTACTGCTGTTACAGATCACACTTGCTAATAATATTGCATGCCTTCTCAGCTGAATGCGTCCCATGTAATTAATGTGTTTTGTATGTTTGCACTCTTCTATAGATTATCTTGCTTCCCCCCGCCTTCTTTTTTTTTTTTTTTTAATTTAATAGAAAGTTTATGTCAGAAAGGGCAACTCGAATGAAACATGCTCTGTGTTTAAAAGAAAGAAGAAGGTCTGTGGTGGTATTTCATTGGTAGGAAGATGTTATGTGGTTTTTGGGTCAGACGTTGAGAAAATATCATGATGGAGCTGCTCCTGCAAGGTTTCTATTTCTAGTATTTCTAGCAAGACATGTCTCTTCTCCCTCCCTTTTTGTTCAGTTAGACAGGAAATCCAGACCATACTGGTGACACCATTAGATTCCTGTTTGATGTGGATGTGCATGTTTATTCACATGACAAAATCTCAAAAAAATATTTGACATCTCAGAAATTTGTAAACTAATAAACTCCATACCAAATGCAAAGATTCAGGATAAATTGCAATGAATTAGCTGTTATGCTATGTTTCCTGTGATTTTGGTTGATGAAGAAGATGAAAATAGTTTCATTTGATTATAAAAAAATTTCATTTTTAAAAATGAGGCCATATTTAAAAATATAATGTGAAGAAAAGTCTACTTAGAAAACTTCACAAATGACTTCTGAACTATTTAAAATTTTCTTTAAACAAAAGAAATTAGTAAAGTCCTGTGAGTTTGCAAAAATATTTTTCAGAAAGCCTGAATTTATATATTAAGTAAGATATTCTTACTTAAAAGGAAAACAAAATGGTTTTGCTTTATACAGGATATTGGTTTTAGTTCTCATTTCATACTGGTTACTTAAATCGGTTGTGACTTCACAGGAAGTCATTACACACTGGATATTTCAGTCTGTAAATATGAGAGATTGCGGCAGATGAAACAGCAATGTTACTTGGCAGAGAATATGTTGGGGTGCGCTAATAACACGACGTTACTTGTCATTTACCACTAATACAAAACGTTTAAATGCAAATGAATGTGAAAAATAGATCTACTTCACCCCCTGAGTGATTCAGTTTTTTCGTAAGAATTATGTCCTTTATCTTAATATCATCTTCTTGCCATTTCTCACACAAAAATCCTTTCCTTTGCCCTTATCACTAGTCAAATCTTAGAGCTACTTTGTCAGTAATAGTGAGTATTAGACTTAAACCCTGTAGTGCTAAATGAGGGATGCTTCATTCCAGAATGGAAGCTTGTTTATACTGTAGTTAGGATTTATTGTTAATATTCTGCATGCTCACGGCAGAAGAATTGCCCTTTTTTTTCTCTTGCCCTTTGCAAGTTGAAGTTCTACT